TACATACAGGCACTTACCTGCACAGTGTATCTGCTACCTTAGAGGAATTATATCCTTTCTAACATTCTAGCCGAAACATTACCAGAGGTTGTGTATATGGCTTGCTGATGACTTTTCTTTTAAACAGGAAACTTAAATCCAAGACTTCCTGACGATTTAATCCTACCGCTAAACATCAGTGAAATAGTATACTGTTTAATTTGGTTATTGGGGTTCTGTTATTGGTAGTTGTATTAGGTAGTGTCTGTTATTTAGCGATTATAAAATCTAATCTGTAATTGGTTAATTCAAAGAAAACATAATGCCCAACTTAACACCCAAGAGCAAAATGCATTGAAGAAACTGAAGAATAGAAAATATATGGTTATAGTATCAGTTGACAAAGGAAGAAGAACAGTAATCATGGATACAGAATACTGCATAAAGAAAGCAGATGATTCACTCAAAGATAATAATGTATATCAACAGTTCACGAAAAACCCTATGCAAACAGTAAATAACAAAATCAAAATAACACTAAATAAACTAAAGAAATCAGGACAAATTACAAAACAAGATCAATAGCGAATGAAATCTAACGAACCTATTTTACCTCGATTTTTACTACACAAACCAAACATTCCCTTACAACCAATCGTTTCGTTGCCAAGATCACCAGTATATAATCTATCTAGAGAACTTTACAGAAAATTAAAATGCCTCATAGAATCATGCGACCATTCTGTCAGTTCGCCAATACAATTTTTTGAGAAAATCAAAAACATTCAAGCGGATGACAATGAAATGATGGTGCTCTTCGATGTCACAGCGTTATCTACTTCAATTTGTCCAAAACTAGCAAAGGAAACTATACAACAACTACTCTATAGCGATGAAAACATAAAAACACAATGTTCAACTTGGATAGAACTCATAGAACTGTGTCTTACAACATACTTCCAATTCAATACTCAAATATATGGACAGATAAAAGGAATACCAATGGGATCGCCCATATCGGGATTAACAGCTGAAGTCGTCATCAAAAGATTCGAATTAATAGCCCACCCAACCATAATTTAACCCAAAATCTGGGTACGCTACATTGATGATACATTTGTAATAATTAGAAGAAATGATTTGGAACATACCCACACATCAATAAACAACATATTTGAAGACATCGAATTCACAAGAGAAGAAGAATTACATAACAAAATTACATTCTTAGATGTACTAATCAGGAGAACTAACACAGGAAATTTAGAAACACAAGTATATAGAAAACCAACACACATAGACCAAATACTCAATCCAATTACCCACAAAAGAAACTGTGTGCAGACATTGTTTAAAAGAGTTCAAACACAATGTAGCACTACTCCCGTATTGAAGAGAATGGAGGAAAAATACCTACTAACAGCCCTCGAAAAGAATCGATATTCTCACTGTTTCATCAAAGAGTCGTCAAGCTCGAGTCATAACACCAACAACAAGCCAATATCAAAGACCATAAGAAGATTCATCCTACTATATTTAAAACTTAACTCTGAAATAAAAGCTAGAATATTAAAATAGATATAGCACACAAGCCAGCCAGTCAGCCAGCCAGCACAATTACTTCATGCGATATTGTGCTAACCGAAAGATTCATCTCACAGAAAAAGAAGATAAAATTAATACCATTTACAAAATAAATTGTATGAACTGTAACAGACATTACATCCGTCAAAATGGGCATCCCTTCGAATCAGAATCCAAGATCACAAATTAGCTGTTAAAAGACATGATATATATTCTTTCATATCAATGCATGTAGATAATTACGGATACCAATTTGATGATTGGGAGAAATGTAGACATTTTAAACAGAGGAAACAGCAGAAATACAGTCAGGGAATTTCTATAAGCCTGGCATTCAAGTGAATCCTCAATTAACAAACATATTACTATACACCGAATTGACCAGCTAATAAAGAGTAAATCATAGGACACGAATCCTATGTCAACAGAAATGATGAACAGAGATGTAAATTAACAACCAGTTACAACAGTGGTTGACAGGAGACACAATTATGTCATTCATGGAGAATTCAAATAAGTTCGTTGCATAATAGAACCTGCACTGAAGATGTTGTCTAGAAGGGGTGGACGACGAAAGCTCCTCAATTAAACCAACCAGCTCAGAGAACACAACTAATTCAATTGGTGAATCCGTTAATAATAACAACAATATTAATAATCACTATCATTATTACTTTGACTGAACATTCAGTAGTAGTCAGTAACTAGAGTCATGCGTCTAGTCCTTTGTTTGCGCAGAATGAATTTTATCAGTCAAGTGTGCAATACGGCCATCTATGCCACTAAGTGGCTCGCCATCACACTGCACTCTGAAGTGTTGTTATTTAAACAGTTGGGGGCAGTCGTCAAGATGTCCTGGACTTAGGTTTCGTGCTTGTTGGCACTCAACAATCAGCAAGGTATATCTGCAACCCTGAAGGAATTCATATCCCTTCTGAGATTCGAATCCGTGTCACCTTTGTGCTAAATATTACAAGAATACTTTAAAGGACTCATCCGACTAAAACAGTACTTGTTAGCTGAATAAAAGATTATAAATGTGACCTTTTTGGGGATATTGAGGATATGCACAACAGTTGAATAGTTCCTGGAGTTATTACAGCTATATAATTCGTCTGAGGTGTCACTGCACTTTCGTAATGTTTAAAACAACAAGCATTTGCATAATTCAAGGTTTATCAGGAGTTAGCTAATACCCCTTTTTTAAAATCCGATTTGGTTGAATGATATTTTAGATTTTGGTTTCTGAATACTATTCAATTTTCAACATGTCTTACATATTGAACATAATCAGGCTTTAAAAGTAGTCATTACAAACTATTCGTCAATAATAACTTATTTAAAAGATTTCATCATGAGCTGACATCAGTTAGAAAACAATTGTAAAACCAACTGGGATTACTGGACAGCTATCTCACCAGCCTAGTTTGGGACTTTTCAGCAGTAAGCACCCACCGCCAGGGTTCAAACCCAAGACCTTTTGGTTACAAGGCAACCTCGCAGGCCATTAAAATACTGGGACTCGATCCAATGGCCAATTGGTGAATTCCAACTTCTGCTAGTTCATGATATGACACGACCACTAGTGAATGTCATCGCTGGCGAGTATTTATCTTCAAGCCCAACCTGCTGTACCCTACTGGTGAGGAATTCCCACTAGAACCCTAGGTAACTAACTTACCTACTTGAATAGAGCTGATGTCAGCTCATGATGAAACCCTGTAACCAGTCAGTTGAATCCTCACATACCAATGCTTGAATAATAATAACTTGTGTTCAAACTTAAAAATTTAAAATTCAGTCAATACTTTTGAGTACATAAAAGAGAGGGATAGGAGGGCATATATTTATTTTTAAAAACACAGGATAAATAGACTAAAAATGACCGGCGCTTCCCGCTAAATAACCGCGGAAACTCCTAATAACCAATGAAATCAATAAAGTCTTCATAAAATGAATCTATGTCGAAAAGAAAAACAGCATTCCGGGGGGGGGGGAATAATACATTTTATTGGAAGATATCACCCTGAAATTATTCCTTTCTTCTTATAGTAGCAATATTTAGATACATTACAGCTGGAGGATAAGCGCTTGAAACCCACAGCCAGTCAGAGCATTCACACATTTTATAGGTGACATTTCAACCCTCACTCTGCTACAATAAACTGATATGACAGCATACCGTTTACAGATAGTGACCATCACCAGAGCATTAGCAGATTGATCTAACTAGATGAGTACTTGTTAACTGAAAAGATTTTAAATGTGAGTCTTTCTTGGGTATTAAGAATGTAGACAGTTCCAGGAGTATTACAGCCATAGAGACGAATCTTACAATAAGGTGAGTCACTACAATTCTTTTACCTTGTCACTTAACTTTTTGAAAGAGTTTAAATCAACAAGATTTTGCATCATTCAAGCTTTATTAAGATTTAACTATCAGATTCATCATTAAAGCCTTCTTTTCTCAAAAAACGTCATATTTAGTTGATATTTCAAATTTTGTATCTGGATTTTGACTAGCGAATACTATTCAGTAATTTTGGTGGATAGTAACTAGCAGTACAATGCAGTATGCGCATTTAGTCCCATCTGAAACTCACATGTTGGATGAATTTACAATCCCTAGGGGAATGATGGTATTCTCACTGACACTATCTCTGAGTACGCTTCATTTCAGACACCAAAGTGTTATCCACTAGACCACGAGAGACACCTCTTGTGCAATGGGGATAGGTTAATACAATTGGATTACAAACAGGTAACTGTATAGTTACGATTTAGTGATTGCGCAATAACTTGTTATTTGTCAATTTAACACAGCATCTCTTATCGTTTTCTCTACTGTTACACCGAAATAAATCGGCTGAACTCAAAATACCTAAAAAAGTAGGTACTTCCTTTTTGAACTTATAGTATTCATTACGTGATACTGAAACTGTTCTCTTTCTGTTATCTACTCAGCACACTGCTGAGAAGTCCCACCTGGGAAGAAACAGCTAGTCTGTACCGATGAAATTACTAATGTAAGTGTATAACTTAGCCACTGTGTTAGAATGTAATTTCATACTAGATAAGTTTATTTCAGATATCATACAGTGATGCAGTATTAATAACTGGATGACGTTTCGAACATAAATTATTGCTTAAAATCAGATCAATCCAATTAAACTACTCAATAATAAATCGATTTTATCTAAAAACAAAACATTAATGACTAAGATATACCAGACAGTTATATTTTCTTTTTATCATCTTTAGACTAATTGGGATAACCCTGCATTGACACATTACTATCTGATATAGTGGATATCATGTGAGATGGGTATCCGAATGTCCAGCACTTTATCAGTCCAGCTAAAAGGCATAACTGTTAAACAGGTGAATATTCCACTGTAATTATCATGGACAATATCCATTTTATATGCGAACGTAGGATGCATCGTTGTCCACCTCTCCCCAAACTGGTTATTTATTATTATTATTATATTCCTACTACTACTACTACTACTACTACTACTACTACTACTACTACTACTACTACTACTACTACTACTACTACTACTACTACTACTACTACTACTACTACTACTACTACTACTACTACTACTACTACTACTACTACTACTACTACTACTACTACTACTACTACTACTACTACTACTACTACTACTACTACTACTACTACTACTACTACTACTACTACTACTACTACTACTACTACTACTACTACTACTACTACTACTACTACTACTACTACTACTACTTTTGATGTAACGGATAATAATTTCGTACTGATTGATTCGTAGTACTAAATAACTATTACCTAATGGATTCATATTACGAAACTTCATCTATGCCTACAGAAAGTTACATTTAGAGACTTCAAGTAATTACTATTGACTATGACTAAGGGAAGCTGTTAGTATTTTGTTAAATAATACCTATTACTAAGATAAATGATTGTCTTTACATGAGTAACTATTCCAGTGGTACTTTATATCAGTCGTTGACTAATCCTATTTAATATGTAAGAAAAATTATACTGTCTATGAACTGAATTGTCAATGAACAACTGTGCGAAAAATTGCACCGCTTCAGGTTGTACTACTTTACAAGGGAATACATAAATAGCAAAGGAGAGGAAGGAATGCAAAGACACTATGCTAAACGGAAATGCAAGGAGGACAGAATAATTACATGAAGAAGACAATTATAAGGTGTATTGTCATACGAAGAGAATGAATATCAATTAGACAGCACTCGATAACTGTTTCGTCTTACCATGTGACTCCTCAGTAACTCCATAACAAGACAAACACGTTATCATCCACAGTTACTCCTTGGTTTTTAAACCCTCTTGGATTGATGTCGATTCGTGTCAAAATATTATTTATCTAATCCTGTAGTGGCTGTTTAAGTAGATATTCTTTCTTAATTCTCTCAGTTGCCTTCAAATTTCAGTAGTTAAACTGACCACGTTGCTTTTCCTCTTTTTTTACAAAATGACAAACATCTCCCTATTAAATATGGAAACTCTAGTTAATCATCATCTGTGTGTTGGTGGTTCATCAGTCGAATACTTGCTAACTAAGCATGTGGTCCGTGGTTCAATCCCCGACTGGCGCACACCTTTACCTTCAATGAAAGGTTGGGTGTGAGGCTAGTAACCCCATCCCGAAAAAAACCTCTACTAATAAACCTCAAAGTTCAAAATTGAAGCCCTATGTTCCCCTTGGAAAGCAAATGAATGAGAACGTGAGGTAAATACAGAATTCGTCTAAAGCAGAAATGCAGTTAAATATAATAAAAAAATTAATAAATAGACGTTTCTCATGATACAATGACTTGACAATAAAACGAATTTATGATACGTGGCTTTAATGTGTAAATTTCAGTCAACTGAACGGAACTCTAGGTTGTCACTAAGTGGTTAAAAGTCGAATACTTCAATCAATCAACCAATCACCAACCTATGATATCTTTATAGAAACCTATTTTTACGAGTTGATCACGGACTGATATCAGTTAGAGAACCATTGAAAACCAGGGAGTACTGAACAGCTGTTGTTTCATCCTAGTTTGGGACTCATCATCAGTATGCACCTACCAACAGGGTTCGAACCCAGGACCTTCTGGCTACAAGGCGACCTCACAGACCATTAAGCCACTGGGACCTGATCCATGAATGGTCCATGAATTCTAACTTCTACCAGTTAATGATTTTAGAGTGACTACCAGCCAGTATCATCGGTGAGCATTTGTTCTCACTCCCAACAGAACGGCCCCCATAGGTTATTTAGTCGCCTCTGAGTGACTGAATGGTTTACGAGCTTTACTTGTAACCAGCAGTTCCATGGTTCGAAACCCGATGGGTATGTACTGTCGAGGAGACCCAAGCTAGGACGAGACAGCTGTCCAGTAAACCCTGGTGATGATTCTAATGATTCTTTAAATGGTATCGATCCATGGTCAAAGGTGAAAAACAAATCAAATCCCTACAAATCAACTCTTGAGAATAGAAAGTGACTTAAAAATTCATTTCAAATACACATGCGTTAACAAAAACGTGATTTAGCTAAGTGGTGCAAGAGGCCGATCACCTAACATATACAGTAGGAACCTTATAACATCGATAAAGGAAAATAGCAAAACTTAACGTGGTACTTAACAAGACACAAAATATCACACATCACTTGTCGTTCAGTTATTCCTAATTGATTAAATTTAAGTTAGTTGAAACAAAAAATGTTATTTGAATGATAACGACTAACAGTCTAATGCAATGGACACTTTCATTTCGTCCTCTTTGGGAATTGTCAGTTGTGTCTGACTACATCCCAGGTCAGTGATAATATTCCTACAAAGACTTGAACCTACTATTCATTTTACTGCTTGACATCGCAATCAACCAAATAGCACCATATGAACCTTCAGACATCATAGAAACTTGTCTACAAGGGGTTAACATGTCAACAGAAAAACAGAACATTTCAATCAAATAGAAATCCATTAAAAGTAATTTAAACAAACGAAACGAGGAGTGATCATTTATTGTATACTGTAAGAAACGTTTTAAGTAGTGATTTAAAGTTTGAAATATATTTTAGTATGATAATAAATTATGAAAAATCAATCAACATTTTCAAGGGATAGTTTGTAGGGATTTAACTTGTTACAAGTTTGGTCACGGAATGAAGATCAGAGAATACAGTACAGTTATTTCGACCTAGTTTGGGATTCTTCAAGTGTACACACTTCTGACTTTTGGAAAGTATTCCAATGCTCGCTAGTAAATGACTACAGGACGAAGTTACTTGGAGTTTTTAGTGAGAAGTCGTGATTAGTGGAGCACACCGTATCGGGTTTGAGGACAAATACTGGTCTATGACATTGGCTAGCAGTCATGCGAATTGACAGACGTTAGAATTCAGGGGCTATTGGATGTCAGCCAGAGTGGTCAACCAGCACACCTTTTAACCTGAAACTCTTAGGTCCCAGCCTTGGTCAGGGTTTATAAGCGCATGCTTCTGAAGTAGTTGTCGAGTGATCCCCAGTTTTCAATGATTCCCTAAGTGGAGTCAATTCTTTATCAAACTTGAAGTAGAAATTATAAGTTATCATTGTGAAATAACATAAAGTACAATAATAAATTGTATAACTTACCAGTTATTTCCATAGTCAATACAAAAATGTATAAATGTATGTACAGATAGTTTGATATGAAAATAAAACGTTTACAAGTTCAGTAGTGTTTTTCTGGCTTATTTTAACTCGACAGTAAGCAAATAATCCAATTACTTCTTCCAGGAATTCCAAAACACCAATAAAGTCGAGTGAACAAAGGAAGTATGCCTAGTTGTACTAGTTGTATTTTATTATTTATGAGTGTATTGTAATTGTAAGCCAGTGGATATTCCTTTAATAAACTGAAGGATAAATTTCATAAATAAGATGAGTCTATCACAATACGAATGGTAAAGGATTTCTTTTTTTTCGTCTATGTTGATAGCCGATCAATTTTTCTTCTCGTAATTATGATTATTTGTTAGAAATTTCTCTTCTCTTCTTCTTCTTCTCATACTAACATACTGTCCCCCTCCTATGTAAAAATTATATATTCTCTATGCCTGAATAACAGTTGTAATGAGATGATGGGTGTTGAAATTAAGTAGTAGGCAAAATATGATTGGTTGATTTGTGCAGACTATGCGGAGGTGGAGAAAAACGGGGGTGGAGAAGGGAATCGCTTACTCATTTATGAATTTTTTTAGGTATACAAGACTGAGAATTTATTATAAATCATGTGATCATCCAATAGTATGCATCAGGAACAACAAACTTGGCTAATAACAATGATGATGATAGTAATAATAATATTCATAGTAAAGTTGCCAAAATGAAACGTGTTCTTTAGTCGGGTAAAAATATACATACGTACATACACACTAGTAGACAGAAGTGAAAATATCTGACCATATTTTTTATGAAAAATAACAACAATAAATGACCATTGACAAGTAATGTATCGAAAATTGTGAGTTTGTATGACAGAAAGGCAACTGAACACACGCACACACATATACGCACAGGATATCTATCCATGTATATACCCTTATTATAATTTTTTGAAACTTACCACATTTGACCTTGTTCATGGTCACACGGGGATGCTTACATACAGTAAGCATGTGTTTGCGCATGAAAATATTAATACACTATGGATTCTAACTCTCTCTCTCTCTTTCTCCTTTTCTACAAGTTTAGTGTTCTACCAACGTCAAGCATAAACATATGTGAGAAACATATGATATCTCCCCCTTAAAGTATAAGCAAAAACTGATACATTTATGAACCAATAGAATTAACTCGATTTATTCTAACCAATCAGAAAATGAACTTAAATTGTGTAAGCCAATAGCTAGAATAGCCGATCGGATAGATACTCTAAAACTTCATATCATACGGTCAGACTTTCAATCTAATCAAATAATTTTTGTTGGTGTTATATTCTCTTTGAAAATAAGGCAGAGAATATGAAAGATGGATGTTGGAAATAAGATTCTTATTCTAAATAAATTATTTTATACAGCCAATTCCCTTTAGTAGTTTGAATAAAGAAAGAACGAACATGTCAGTAGGATAATACGACCTCGTCTCATTTTGTGGATTCTCTTCAACTGAGCACATCCCAAATAAATCAATTATAAGTTACAAAATGGTGTTAAACATACTTTTTCCTCAGTGACTTCAAGATAAGATGAAAAGTATAGGTAATATAATTTCGTGGATGGTGTAAGTAGACAATTATTTAGTGGTAAAAGAGTAGCTATTTATATAGTAATTAGACAAGGGGTTAGAGTTCAGATTCTTCTGTAAACAAGGATGGATGGAGTTGAGACAAAATACAAGATAGAACAACAGAGTGAATTCATACACATGATGGTGGAAACGTCATGAGGGTGGGTGGGGTTGGAAAGTAAAGTATAAAAGTAGTTTATTTTGGTAGATTTGGAAAGTTAATAGTGAGTGCAACTGAGTGTGTGAAAGTCAAAATCAAGACTGAGTGGAATATTATATAACAGAACAATTGCGGTTACTGGGCTAGTGAGAGACTAACCACACACTCTTTCTGTACTCACAAATTGGGTTGAAGTTTTTTGATGGCAATGGCTTCTGCGAACTGAAGTAACCATGCTTTTCTTTCTGTATTGACTATTTTGAAAGCCTGACTAATTTTCACTGCATGTCCATTGTCATTTAAGTGTCTAGCGATTGCGCTTGAGAACACTTTGTTGCCTTTCAAACGGAGACTTTTAGGGATATGCTCGGAGAATCTAGTAGACGCTCTCCTCTCAGTCCTTCCTAGGTACTTGCTACTGCAAGTGCAGGTGAATCGGTAAATGCGGTTAGAGTTGACATGAGTAGGATACTTATCTACTTTTGACTGGATTAAGACGCATACTGAGTTGTAAAGTTGAATGAGTCTAGCGGCGGGAAATGTTCTTTTTAGTGCATCTTTAATCCTGTTTTCCATGCTTATGGATGCTTCTTCATCTTCATATGGGAGACAGATGAAAACTGGTTTCTTTTCAGCTATTTCGGGTTTCGGTCTAGGTGATTTTTCCTTCTTATATTTCAATATGAACTTCCGAGGGTATCGACTTTCGATAAGATTCTTTTCGATGACTGCGGGTTCTTCTTATCTTCTGCTCTTTTTTGTTGTTGTTATATCTGAAGTACTCATTTTTATCATTATTATTTGGTGAGGAAATTAGTACTTCAGTGAGTGCAATCGTTATGGGTTTTCTTACAGTCCACTTCTCACTGGTGACTGACTACAGGTGGAATTCTCTGGAGTCTAGTGAAAGATTTTGGAGGGGGAAGTCTATCAAGTCGATTGAGAAGAAAGATACTCTCTGATTACACTGAATGTTAGAATTCGCAGGTCATTTGATTCTGACCAGACTACCGAAAGGGTTCCAATCTCTTGTATGGCTGTGTGTCAACTTTTCATACATTTACTAGATGGATTTATTCTATTCTACAGCCCACGCGAAAGGAAAGTCAGTCATTACGAGGTCCCTATTTATTTATAAAAGAATGGGATTTGGATACTATAGTAGAGTATAATCTTATAATGGAGTAATTTTGTTTGATATAGTGAGAAATATCTACTGATTATATTTTGAGCCCGGATTATAGCCCATAGTCATACGAAAGTTTTCATTCACTGACGAGACAAGAACTTAGCTAATCTGTACAATGATTAATCCTAAGAAATAACTAACTTCTTAAAGAATATTCAGCTGTTGGAATGCACGCTATAACAAAATCATACGGTAGTGTGAGATAGAGCTACGGACTGAAGAGGTAATATACTTAGATCCAGGGAGAGACTAACCACTGAAATTACGTTCGTCAAACAGACACGAATGATGCAACACCGATATGGTAGATACGGAAAATATTATTACCAATGGAACCTAAGCATAAATAACAATATAGTTGATATAATTACTCAGAAGTGGCTTTAGAAGTGAAAATTAAAAGTTGTAAATTACGTGGTACTCAACGGAACAAAGATGGAAATTTGATAAGGTTAAAATTGCTGTTGAGTCAGAATAAAGGTATTTGAGTGTCAATTTAACAAGTGTGAAGAGGGTGTGAAAATATACAAAAGGAGCATATGAGAGTGATAATAGTAAATTAATTATTAAAGCAAAAGCAAACTAGAAGTAAGATTAAAAATTCCAAAAAAGAAAAGAAAAAAGTCAAAATGTTTTTACAGGGAACAATTAGTGAGAAGGTTAAGACCAAGGTAGAATAAGAGAGTGGGCAAACTTTTTCTGTATACAGAGTTCAGGGTTGTATTGATGAATTGCCAGCGCCTCCGCTATACACAAAAGCCGAAACCTGATGCCCTTCGTACCATTTAGCTTCACTTTGTAGATGATCTTGAAAGACGACTCCGGTGGAGCTACGTGGCCTGAGTTCACCAAATGCTCGAGAATTGAGCTAGTAATTGTCTTGCACTGTCCCTTTGCTAACCATGCCGGATAATGTTCAGAGATGCGTTTGGAAAGCGTGCGCTTTGTGTGGCCAATATAACTAGCTCCACATGAGCAGGTGAATTTATAAACACACATTGAAGTGGCCCAAAGCGGCAGTTTATCCTTCACACACCCGTTGATCATTTGTCTGCTGTAGAAGTTGGTACGTAGCTCAGCCATAAAGAAGGCTTTCCTCAGTGATCTGCATAAGCGATTCTTTAGGATCTCAGCGTAATTTACGTAATTTACAACTTTTAATTTTCACTTCTAAAGCCACTTCTGAGTAATTATATCAATTATTTTACCCCCTATTACTCAATAATAGACCGCTATATATTTTTGTAAGTATAAATACGACTATACAGCCTCTGAAGATGATTTCGTCGATAAAGAAAATTTTCTTCGCTGAATCTGTCTTTTATTTTCTTCATGACTCAATGGGTATTTTCGGTGAACAATATAGTTACGTATATGTAAGTACGCTAATATGACTACTAACAATAAATTGTACCGGAAAAGTCATCACACAGAGACTAGCTAACAGAAGGTCAAACCCAGGAACTGGTTGACAGTTACCCTATCAATTCCGAATTGACAGAAGTTACAATTCATGAGCTGTTGGATCTCGTTCTCATTGGATGAATGGTCAATGGCCTGATTCTGTAAACTGAAGCTACTAGGTTTAATTCTCAGTGACGGGATTGGTGTGTGTCGTTGGAAAGTACGGAAGTAGAGTGAAACAGCTGTCTAGTACTCCATCGTTTTTAATGGTTCTCTAAATGTGGTCAGTCTGTAATGTAATTTAAAACCAACCAAATCCCTTGCAAACCAGTACTTGGAAAGCGTTGTTAAGATTCTAGACTAGTAGGTTAGTAGCTAGTAAATTATAGGCCATTGGTTCGAATCTTGAAGTAATACAAATTTCTAATTCACTTTCAATCATCACTTACTCATTATAGAAATAAATTTGCTGCCAAATTATTCAGGTCATGTTTTTGATTATTTATTTATGCTTAGAAAATGATACAGTTGTAATTAAAAGTTAGTTGGTGGATGGTGAGTAGCAGTGGAATCCACGATGCGCACTTCGTCCTACTTGGGACTCGTCATTTGGACGTACCTGCACTCCGCAGTAAATGATGACGTTCCCACTGAGGCTTGAACCCAGTGCCCATAGTTCAAAACGCCAAAGAAT